GAAAGCAGACGCTTAACCGACTGAGCCACTCAGGCGCCCCATGATAACTAACATTTGTTAAGTGCTCGCTTTTTTTTTTTTTTTTTTTTTTGAGCCCACACAGGGTGCCGGGTCCTGTTGTAAACACTGTCAATACCCTAAGGGAGAAATGAGCGTTGCCCCCGTTTTGGCAGATGGGGAAACTGAGGCACAGAGCATTTCGGCAAATTGCTTGAGTTTATACAGGGTGGAAGTGGCAGGACTGAGATTCACACCGAGGCAGGAGGACTTCAGAGCACAAGCTCTTAACCAGCACTTTGTGCAGTGGTTGATTTTAAGGTGCTGAGACCAAAACACCAGCTGCGCTTGTAGACTTCAGCCCGTCCATTCTGAGCACCAAGAGGGCAGGACTGCACACGTTTTCCACCTTTCCATTCCTCTTACCTGGGCCAGTACCTGGCAGATCGTAGAGGCACGGTGAAGGTTCATTTTAATAAATGAAGTAAACACCAGTCTCATGGGTTGTTGACGCGAAAAGAGGAGCCCAACAAAAACTAAGTGTTACGGTTTCTCAAAGGAAGCTCCGTGGTGGTATTGTAAGTACTGATGTGCTAAACAGGTGTCTGTCATTGGGAGGATCCCTGCCTTTGGTGAGGAGGTGCAGGGACCGGGCCAGTAGCCTCCAGCCTGGGGCAGTGGTCTCCTTGTTGGTGGGCAGTTTTGGGAAATGAGAGCTTGGGTGTCAGAGGGTCACCCGCACTTTAACAAAACCCACCAAAGCATGGGTGAGTACCGGTAAGACACACTTGCATAATTTAGCCTTTCTTTGACGGTTCTAGAAGGCAGAACCTTGTAGCACTCCCAGGTCCCAATCACAGACGCCCCGTATGCCATGAGACCCCAAGGGGCTGGTTAATTGAGAGCTTGAGTTTCTGGAGAATGTTGACTAATGGGTGTTTCCAGTCACCTTCACGCGAGATGGTAGTGCTTTCAGGAGACCGTGATATGTGAGTGTTCTGACATTTCCCTCAAAGCTCTTTCCAGATTGTTTCAGGAGGGGGTGGGAGTGCATGTACTATGGTTTGGTCCTGATACAAGGCTGATGTTAGCTGGCGCAGAGATGGTAGGGCCCCACTCATGGAAGCCTTGGCCGTGTTGTTCGTCTGCTGTAGCTGGACTGCGAGTTTCACATCACTGTTGCCCATTAGAAGTAAGGCTGCCCCAGATTTTGAGCTGAGAGGTGCTCAGAGGGAGGAAAGGTGGGCTGGCCTGTCTTTCAAATATCACTTAGACTTTTTTTCTGATTCTGTATTTGTGAAATAGCTATGGGAATAGCCATGGGTTCATGTAGAAAGGGTCTTAGTAAATTAGGAAGCTTCACTTAGTTCAAATATCCTTTTTTCCCCCTTTTATCTCATCCTTCCTTCCTTGGAATTCTTTCTTGAAATGGTGATAATATAGGGAAAATTCCAGAGCAGAAATGTCACATACCTTGTAAATTCAGGTCAAAAGAATCTTTGGTAGCAATAGTAGCCAAAACTCAACACGTCAAGTGACTTAAATGCCAGTAAATAAATATTCAGTAGATAAACTTACCCTTCAACATTCAGCTCGGATAGCACCTCTATCCTGCTCTCTCCCAGACCAAGTAAGCCATTATCCTTAAATGCTCCTGTAGCAGTTTGCTCCGGTTCCCAGAATAACACAGGCCCCATTGTGTTTCTAATTTATCTGTTTTCATGTCTTTCTTTCTGCCTGGATGGTGAGGTTCTGGGAGGGAAGGATTCACCTTTGTATCCCCAGCACCTGGCATGTGTAGGCTGGTATGTAGGAGACGGTCTGTGCCTGCCGGATGCATGAGTAATAGGGGAGCTCATTAAATTTCATCTTCAACACTGGGCAAGAAGAGGACGTATCATATTGAAATATTTCCAACTTGTTAATAACAGGCCACTCCGTGTTATGATTTAGGAAAAGGAGTGTTCAGGACATAGTGATTTTTTTCTCTGTCCTGTGCTCATTTTCTTCTACCACCCCCCCACCCCCGAGCCCCCACAAGTCTCATGAAAATATTCATTGATTCTGGGTCTTTTTGAAGAACATCTCTCTTTCTTTCCAGGCAGGTATTAATGAAAATGACTTTTACGATGGGGCGTGGTGTGCAGGAAGGAATGACCTCCATCAGTGGATTGAAGTGGATGCTAGACGTCTGACCAAATTCACTGGTGTCATCACTCAAGGAAGGAACTCACTTTGGCTGTAAGTGTGGGTAGACCTGTGCTTTTCTAGACTCCATGCCTTGGGTCTAATGTTACAGGGTTTGGACAGAGACAGGGAAGCAGAGAAGTATCTGGTGATAAGCAACAGAAGTGAAGAAAATTGGAATGTGGACAGGATGCTGGGCTTGCTGTAGACACAAGCATCTCTTGAAATGATGTTATCCCCTGTACGAGAAGAGAGAGAAGGACCCACCTGGCAGGTTGGGCTGAGTAGACAAAGGTGTTGTAAAAACAATGCAGCTTAGGCAGGTGGCTGCCATCTTGGATCTGTGATGAGTTACTGGTACCCTGACTGGTAGACTGAACACAGCCCAAGGTGGGAACTCTGACAGTGAGCAGTAGGTAACAGGTCCAAGCCACTGTTCTGGAGTAGATGGTATGAATCCTTTAGAATCTGAGGACTGGAAGCCCAGAGAGGTTCCCAAATAAAGGACTGTAGAGAAGTAGTAGAAATGAAGGGTGAGCCAGTACGAGGCCTGAGAACGAGATGGAGCCCATTTCTCAGAATTGACCTTGGGGCCAGGGTTGGGTCAATAACAAGATGAAACTGATAGTAATCCTAAGAGAGGTAGGCTCTCCATCCCATGGTAAAGGCACGCAGTGGAATATTGCATATTACTCAGCCTTAAAAGGGGAGGACATTCTGACACGTGCCATACCATGGATGAGCCTTGAGGACATTATGCTAAGTGGAATAAACCAGTCACAAAAGGACAAACATTGTGTGATTCCACTTAGTGAGACCCCTTGGTGGCCGCCGGGGCCTGGAGGAGGGGGAATGGGGAGTTGTTGTTTAATGGGTCCTGAGTTTCAGTTTGGGGTGACGGAAAGTTCTGGAGCTGGATGGAGGTGGTGGTCGCACAGGGATGTGAATGCACTGAATGCCACTGAATTGTACACTTAAAAATGGCTGGAATGATACATTTTATGTTATGTATCTTTACTGCAATAATGAAAAATTGTATGTGCCAAAACAATGCGCACAATAAAACCAAACAACCTCCCCACCTCAACCCGGGGCTGGTCATGGAGACAGAAGCAGGGCCACATCTGTGGGGTTGTCCTGTGACTCCAGCCATGTGGACAGCAGGCAAGTGGAGACCGGGAGCTAGGCAAGGCCTAGAAGGGTCCATAGGACCTTGGGTGCTTTCTGAATTTAAGCAAGAATTTTCAGGTTCCTCTAACATCTGATGACAACTGAGAAGCCAAGGGCACAAAGGCCTCCCACGCTGACATTAGGAAACTGGCCCAGTTAGCTAAGACTCCTCCTGCCCTGCCCGCCTCACCTTCCTGTCTGTGCCACACTCTAGAATTTCATTTCAGTATTTGCTCATTACCTCTTGGCAGTTGTGTAAAATCTGTCTGTAATTTGTTGATTCGATTACTTTTTAATTCCTGGAAAGGTCAACGTTAATAAATAAACCAGGATAAAGGAGGGGAACCTGACATCTGTGCTCACATTTAAGTGCCTGTCCTTGTCACTGTAGAGGGGACTTTCTTACATAGTGACAGTTGTCAGGCAGTGACTCATCATCTATTTTCCTCTGCGCTTTTTTATCGTAAAGACGATATTATAACATCTAGCAACATTTAAAAACAGTACCCATGATTCCACTGTCCTTAGACAAACATAGTTTTTTGGGGGACATATTTGTAATCCTATTACATATGCAATCATGTTATTTTAACTTAAGAACGTATCAAAGCATTTTTCATGCTGTTACTGAGACTTCGTAATGGTCATTTTTTTTTTTTTTAAAGATTTTATTTATTTATTTGAGACAGAGAGAATGAGAGAGAGAGCACATGAGAGGGGGGAGGGTCAGAGGCAGAAGCAGGCTCCCCGCCGAGCAGGGAGCCCGATGTGGGACTCGATCCAGGGACTCCAGGATCATGACCTGAGCCGAAGGCAGTCGCTTAACCAACTGAGCCACCCAGGCGCCCATAATGGTCATTTTTAATAGCCTGTAATTTACCTTGCCATGGCTCCGGCTACCTTCTCGGTTTTCTGGTATCACATATCATTTTGCAAGAAAGCATTTTCATACTTTTTTCTTCCTTTGAATTATGTCCTTCAAATACATTTCCGGAGCTGGGATAATTTGTGCATTTTGACAACATTTGGTTATGTATTTGTGCTGTTTTGTGTAGTGCGTTTTTTTTCACTTTGCTTTTCAGCAGCGCCCATGTATGTGCTCATAATGATGATTTTTGCTTTGTGGTGTGCATTGTGCTCTAATCAGCTCATTACCATGACAATTGTTTTCACTGTTTAGATTCTGAAAGGCAAGAATTTGGGGGAAGAAAATGTTGAATTGCTCAAGGGGAATGGAAACTTGGACAGAAAGATTGATCTTGAGATTATCCATAGGGATGAATGAAGGGATTTTACCTCAATGCTGGGATATTAACCTGTCTAACTACTGTCATTAGAGAGCCAGTGGTCGAGTTATTATTGGATTAGAAAGACCGAGCAGCGTAGGAATAACACTCACATTCCGTTTCATCTAGAACACAAGAGCATTTTAGGTGAACAAGAAATTGCAGTAGAACAGTATCTTTCTTTGACTATGCCTAGGACAGGAACATCTTAGAAGACAAGGGATAGAATTGCTTTTAAGAGTCAGATTTTTTTTTTTGGCTAAATGTCTTTTAAGTCAAATTGTCCTTCAAGGACGATGGAAAGAAATTTGATGAGTTTCAGTTTGTCTTACCTCCTGGAATAGGAATGTCTCCACTCAGGACTGAAGAGGAAATAGGACAAGGATGAATTTTGGTATCTGAACCTTTTTATTCCCCAGAGGCATGAATAATGCTAGAAGCATTGGGATCTGTCCCAGGATGACCAGAAAACATGTCAGCCATGGGAACCATCAAATGCTGACAATGAAGAAGGCAGCAGATGTCCCTCTTTCCCTCTTCCCATGACCTCGGTCCCCACGCTGTTCCCAGGACAGGTGTCTATGGTACCACTTTTTTTTTTTTTTTTTAAGATTTTATTTATTTGACAGAGACACAGCGAGAGAGAGAACACAAGCAGGGGGAGTGGCAGGGAGAGGGAGAAGCAGGCTTCCTGCTGAGCAGGGAGCCCGACATGGGGCTCCATCCCAGGACCCTGGGATCATGACTTGAGCCGAAGGCAGATGCTTAACAACTGAGCCACCCACGTGCCCTTATGGTACCATTTTTAATATTCCTATTTACGGGCTTCTGTGTTCCTCCCTGCTGGTCTGGGAGTACCTTTATGATAGAGACAGTGCCTGGTTGCCTTGCCCTGTACCAGGCATCTATTAAGACACTCAAGTAATGATTTTTTAATGAACGAATATTGTTAGGAAGTAACAAATTGACAAAGGTCCGTTCACATGGAATGGTAATGAGTTCATTAATCTGCGAGTGTCAGTGACCGAGAACAAGTTTGCAGTGGGAGTCGGGAGAGGAGAGGGGCCGTGGAAGGTTGAGGAGTGACGATTTCTAGTGATGTATGATAGCATGGACAACAGAATGCCTTTGGAGTCACGTCACAGCTCTTGACTCTTGTTGGTTATGAGACTTCCCTTCCCTTGGAACCTCAGCTTGCTGCCTGAAATAAGATAACTATTCTCTATGGGGTCAAGGTGCAGTGGAGGTCAAATGAAATTACCCAGCACATAGTAAGTGCTCAGTAAATGTTAGTTTCTTCCCTCTGCATCCCTTTGGGTTTATTTAAAACAGTGGCTTGGAAGCTTTATTTTTAGCCACAGAAACCTTTGGAGGATACAGGGAGGCTAGGCTGCGCTGTGCGAATCTGGGGGGCGCAGGGGAGCTTTGCCTGCCTAGCCCGACCTCCCCCCCCCACCCCAGCGGAGCAGCCCTGGAGGATGCCTTCATCCACGTAGCTCTGGTAACAAGCATACTGAACGGCCTGAGGGCCCTCTGGGCCGGTTACAACCCTGCCTGCTCCTCCAAAGTCCCGTGGCCGCTTCCTGAATCTTGCCGGGTAAAGGGAAATTGTGGAATTCAAGCCAAGACAAGCAAGGGCAGGGTAGGAATTAGAGCTTGATTTTTCTAGTTAAACATGCAGAACCTACCCTCATCTCAGAGAGTTGCATTTTGGCTGGGAATGTTTTAGGAATGGAAGGGCAAGAGGTTGCCGGCCCTTTGAGGTCGGAGCCAGATGGGTATTGCTGTGTATAAAGGCTTCTGTCTGGTTGTTAGAATACGGGAGCACGTGGGAGTTACAATGCATATATATTTAAGGATATTATTAATACTTTTCATCTGTAGGACTTTCATAGCTGGTATTTTTTTTGTGTGAAGATTTTATTTATTTATTTGTCAGAGAGTGTGAGAGAGAGATGAGAGAACACACACAGGGAGAAGCAGGCTTCCCGCGGAGCAGGGAGCCCAGTGCGGGGCTCGATCCCAGGACCCTGGGATCATAACCTGAGCTGACGGCAGACGCTTAATGACTGAGCCACCCAGGTGCCTCGTATGGTTGGTATTTTTAAGTGAACATCCATAATCTTACTTGTTTCTGACATTCTCTTTGTGTGTTTATGAATTCATTCAGCTGTTACTGAGCACTCCGTACTCAGCACTAGGGATACAAGGTGAGCAAGGAGTGGCCTGCTTGCAGGGAGCTTTCATTCTGGTGGAAGAATCCGGTATGTTAACAGATTCACTAGCATCCGCAAAGTACCCGTTGATGAGGGATGGGGAAAGAGCTGTTATCAGATTTGGGATGTAGGCGTGAAGGACCATATGGCAGGTCACAAGGCTTAGCCTAGGTCTGTGACTAGTTCATAATCCAGTTGATGACAAACTATAATTCTAGTTTTAATAGTTTTTCTATTTGAAAGTAATAAAGTATAATTATTTTCATGATACTGAATAATTTATATTTTTCACCAGTAGAAATTATCCTTCTCCATCGCACTGCAGTTTAGTGAAATGTTAGTATACTAATAAAAGCCAATCTTTAATTTCCCTAATTTCAGAA